AACACTCAAAATGCATATTTCTCAAAAAAAAAAGTAATTAAAATTAAAACTCATTAATTTTTATTATTAGAAAAGACATTAAAATTCACCATTCCGAATTTAATTCTTGGGCTCGGGGTGTTACATTTAACCAAAATTATTTTTAAATACATAAGTTACAGCTAGAAAATGCGGGCAAAGAAGACTTAAATAATCTAAATAACTTCATTTATTTTCACAATGTAATGAAAAAAATATTGATTTAACTCAGTTTGCTAAGCGTATGATTCTGTTTACCCTAGAGCATGTTATATTATATCTCACTATTATAATTTAAATAACATAAAAAATAAAATAAAAAATTCTATAGAAAATAATAAAATAAAGTAAAAAAACCAAACTATCAGAAAATATTATTAAATTTAAATTACGATAAGACAATATTGTTCTCAAAATTTTCATCCACTAAGATAATTACTAATTGGAAAGTAAGTTGTAATTGTAATTTCACTAATATTGGGTTTGGTTTAAACTTCAATTTTATGGAATATCATTGAAAATACAATAATAATATAAATTCAAGTTAACAATTTTTATTATTCTTTTCTGAACATTTAACACTATAAATACATGGTTACGAAATTGAAAGTATGAATAAATTATTGTAAAAAATTGAATTGAGTTAAATTTAATGACCCAAGAATAACATTACTAGAGTTACAAAACGTTTTTTAATTTTTACTTTTTTAAATATATATATTTTATGAATAAAAATTATGTAAATTAATTATGTATAGCCAGAATTAACAGTGAAGATAATTATAAATTAAAATTTCTATTATTTGAATCATTCAACAGTCTCCAACTTTTTTTATATACCTACATAAAAGAAGACATCCAAACCCATGAAATTTAGAAAACAAAAATTAAGAAATTATCTTCATGTATTAAATGAATATAAATTTCAAGAATCTGAAAAATGACATGCACTCCACAGTTTTAAATCTGATAGAACTCTAGAGGGAGAGAAAGAGCTAACCACTTAAATACAATCATGCAGTTACAAGAAAATTCATAATCTAACCTAATTCAGATTTCCTGTTAATAGTCTTACCAAAATATGTTCATTAGAAGATTTCCAGCAGAACTTGAATGCAAGTAACCAGAATGTGGGGAAAAAATATTCAGCAAGATAATATAAAATACTTCAGTCACTGTGCAATTCAAGTTTCTCTTCCACCCCTCTGTGGTGGTGGTGGTGTTGAACTTTCAGACCTGTTTTCCGAGGATGGCCTATTCTCTGCATCAATCGGTCGGACATTTTCTATCATTTTCACTACTTCTGGCATCTTCGGTCTCTGATCTGGCATCCTTGCCACACATGCCATTGCTATCTGCAACATCTCCACCATCTCTTCCTCTATGTTGGGATATCTCAGCAACTCAATGTCAAACACTTCTGCTGTCCACTCCTCTCGAACAACTGAATGAACCCACCTCACCAAGTGGATAATCTCATCACCAGCAGTGGTATGTATCGGAGACTTTCCTGTCAGCAGCTCTAGTAAGACCACTCCAAAGCTGTATACATCAGAAGGTTGCGATGATTTCCTTGTGTCTGTCACTTCTGGGGCCCGATAACCAGCTGCTCTGGCAACTGGGGCAGCTAGTGGGCTCATAATAGTTGTCAGGCCAACATCAGACACACAACCATGCTGCTGGGAGTTGAGAAAGATGTTTGAGGACTTGATATTGCCATGGACAAACTTCCCACTATTCTCTGCATGGATACGGGCAATGCCTCTTGCTGCACCTATAGCAATTCTCATTCTACTATCCCAATCTAATGTGGTTCTATTCTCTCCTTTCTTACCTGCAAAATTTGATATGCATAAAGAATGAGTACTTCTAGATGATTTCAGATTTGCTTTGGTGAAAATTTAAGGGAGCTGAGTGGAGATGATTAAGTCAGAAGACCAAGTACCTAACATTCAGTAGGAAACAATGTTAAGCCAGTGAGCACCTCTAGGCATACTGTTATATACAACCTAGATCAAACAAGACTAATCTTTTCTTTCTGATGAAAAGGATTGCTGTAGTCCCAGCAGGAGGATCCTTCTTTCCTCTCACATTTATAAAGGGGAATCTAAACGGAGAATCAATATTGCAATATACCCGCTGTAAAATCCTAAGATTAAATGACAGATAATCTTGCAATGAAATCCTATTTAAACCTCTCAGCACTCTTTAAACGGTTCAGAAAATTAATTTTATCTAGGATCCTTTTTCCCTGTTTTGCTCCACATATTAGGTAATAGTTTACAATGATACGGAGGGTTTATAAAGCAAGAGCTACATAGTAGGTTTGGACGCTGTTCTTGCAACTTTCCTAGCTTCCTCAGAAAATTTATGTCCAAGACCTTCAACACCCTCTCCAAACAAATCATCTTCTGTTTGGATAGAAAAGCTTTCCTGAAGATATTGTCTTAAAATTTTTTGGATCTTAATCCACCATGCAAAAAGCTATATCATACAGAAATCAGAAAAAAGTTACTTTACAAATTAATCTCATAGTTTTGCTATCAATTAAAGGGTCCAAGCCATCTCGATGCTTACAAGATAAAGATAAATTCTTCGTCTTGCTCTGGATTTATTTTTTAAACACTTCACTTAGGTTATCTAGGAATATCTCTCTCACTCCCTAGTCAAAGAAACAATGAAATCTGTATAAAGATCTAAAGCTAAAGAAAACTGCTTCCAATCAACAAAACAGTAACATTACCAACAAGGCTTACTTCACTCCATAAGTGAAGCAATAGCAGATATCTCCCTAAACTCAACAATCTATCGCAGGTCAACACCAGTTTCCATATGTTACATCAACAGTAAAAATTATTCATAAGAAAAAGGAAAAGTTGCTAAATCTTCATCTACAACCTAGCAACGAATTTGAAATTCAAAGAATAAAAGGTTAACAACAAGACTCAAAGCTGATCATTTCAGTTTAATTGCAGAAAGCATCTGAGATGTAACACATTATAAACACTTTAAAGCAAAATTCTATTCAGAAAAACATGATTGTAACCAAGTTATCACTGGATACCACATAACTTTCTTCTTTATATTTCTAAACATGGACAATTAAAAAGATCAATCAAGTGGAAACATGAAGGACACTTGAAAAGATCAATCAGTGAAAGTAAGCCTCTAACCTACTTTCACCTATGTATATACATGCTTGAAATATTCCAAATCATATAATAAACAACAATTTCAAGCCAAAACCTTATAACAGAACATGTATATTGGTTATTTGGTTTACTTCCAAATCAGCAGAATATTTAGAATTTAAACACCAAATAAGATTCAATTTGAAATATCTATTTTCATTCAGAAATCCCAAGAGATGAAACTCCAACGTACCATGTAGTATAGCAGAAACGCTGCCCTGACTGTAATAGTCATAAACCATAAGCTTCTCGTCTTTGGAATAGTAATAAGCTTTCAGCTCAATCACATTGTGATGCTTTATACCTCCAACAACCTCCATCTGTTGCTCAAAATCTCGCTTCCCAACACTCACCTCCTTCAACCTCTTCACCACCACTGTTGTTGCATCCTCGAGAATGGCCTTGTAAGCAGTACCGAATGTTCCCTTCCCAAGGACCTCAGCAGAGGCCCTCAACAAATCCTCCAGGTCAAAAGTGAAGTTACACCCCTCAAAGAAAAACAGTCGGTTATTCGCATCTTGGCTCCTCGAGACCACTTTCTCTGGTGACATTTCTCCTTTCTGCAACTTCCCCGAAAATCCATCTTCACCCTTTCTTCTTAAGCAACACACAGTAATCAAAAATGCAAACGCCACAATTCCCAAAACACAACCAGCAACTACAATTCCTAAGAAAGCAGATTCACCAAGTCTTCCAGTATTCTTAGGTTTTGTATTAGGCTTACTAGGAGGGACAACAACTGGAGAGACATGAGGAGGAAGGCTATGAGAAAAGTTGTTACCAGCAAACACTGAACTCGGGAACTTTTGAAGCCACTCTGGTACTGTACCAGTAAGTTTATTGTTAGACAAGTTAATATGCTCCAAACTAGGAAGATTCAGATCAGGTATATCACCGGAAAGAGAATTGTTTGCGAGATTCAAAGCCTGAAGTTGAGTCAAATTGGAAATGGAAGAAGGAATGCTCCCATTAAATCCATTGTTAGACAAATTAATAACAGTCAGATTCTTCCATACAGAGAAATCCACCGACAGTGGGCCAGAGAAATTGTTGTACTGAAGATAAAGATAAGACAAGTTCCTTAGGTTAGAAAAATCAGATGGAAAATGCTTGTTAATCCGATTAGATCTAAGACTCAAAATCTTGAGAGCTGAAAGCCGACTGATAGTGTTGGGCGGAATCGGTCCGTCGAATCCAACACCGGGTAATCTAACGGCTACAATGCGAGACAAATCTTTGCTGCAAGTCACTCCAATCCAGTTACCACATACAGGAGATGAGTCGTTCCAGTTCAGAGAGCGAGAGGGACGGAGAGTGCTCACGAAGTCGAGCAGAGCTTGCTTGTCTTCAACTGGGTCTGCGTTTCCTCGCAAGAAAACCAAACCCAAACAGAAAACCCAAGAGAAAATGTGCAGAGACTCCATTTTGCCTAGTTTATAGTACTTAAACTGTAAAAGCAAAAACGAGCTGTTTCTGCTGCTTGGCCTTTTCTCCCCCACAACAACTATGGTTTGAGTAGGTAGCTGGAGACGGCCGAGTATCAGAATAAAACAATTAGTTTCAAAAATAAGCAAAGAATGTGGAAGGAAAAAAGAAAAATCAGATTCCAAGATAATTGTCGATAAAAGTAGAGGCGGGCCTGTCACTTTAAAAAATGAGCTTGAGGCTTTGAAAATGGAGTTGTTCTTTAACCAGAAACCAAGCTTCTTTTTGTTCTTTCTTTCTTCTTTTACTCTCGGATTTGAAAATTGCGAGACCGGGAATTTATAAAAAATAGAAACAAAAATATAAAACAAAATCCCCATAAAAACAGTAACAGAAATGAGTAAAATAAAATTTACTCATGCCATTAAATAATACCTCGCTTTTCAGATCTGAACAAGAAACCACTTTATTTGAGCTTTTCTCCTTAAAGCTAAAGGCTTTGCAGCTCCTCGCTAATGCTCTGCCACCAAAACCAGCACCCTTAAACCACTTACCAGCAACACATTCAAACGCAAAACACCCACCCACACTACTTACATACACATATATATACACACACACATCAACGCAGAGAGAGAGGTGAAAACGTATTTGCCATGATACCTATCAGGGTAAAGCAGATTGCAAAGTGAATGAAATGGAGTAGCAATCATTCAAAAGGTACCCAAAAAAGCAGAAGGTCTTCAATGGCTCAGGAGACTTTTTATGCGAGACACAAAAGTTAAAACAAAAAAGAAAGAAAATTTTTTTAAAAGAAATAAACCAGAGAGCAAGAGATTTAAATAATGCGACTGAAAACCGCCATTGAAGAAGGAAGGCTCCGTTTCTAGCTCCAACGGCTATATTTCTTGTTCACTGTAACTGAAGAAACAAGGGAGGAGAAATTGAGAGGAGAGTTTGCCGGGTTTTATTAGATGATAACCGGCGGCTGTACAAGGAATAAAAGCGGACGGAAAACCGCTGTTTTGTTGTGTGATTTCTCCTGGAGCGACACGTGGGGCCCAGCATGGAGAGAAGGAATTTTTCCTGTATTGTCATTCGTTTACGATGACTACGAATTCATGGCTGAGCGCTCATGCTGGCCGTTGATTTTAAGATTTAGAGGATTTGTTTTTCAAATCTGGCCGTTGGATTCTCATCTCCTCAACATTTGACACGTCACGATAATTATATGTTGTTTGGATGGGGTTCCTCGGCTCGTGTGGTATTGTAATTCTGTGCATCTTTTTTAGATAAATGTTAAGTTTATTTTGATTTTATTATAATTCAGATTTTGTTATTTTTATATTATTAGATTGTATTTTATTTTTTATATATTTTTTTTATTTTAAAACTATTTTATATATTTGTGCGGAAACTCAAATATATGCATACATTTTTCGACAAAAACAAAAAAAATACTTATTTAAGATAATAAAAAGCTAAATTATTTCTACTATTTTGTTCAATTCAAAATCTCAGTTATGCGCTTTCCATTATTGAATTGATGGAAAAAAATTTAAAAAAAAAAATTAAAGAATAAAATATTGAAGTTAAAAAAAACCCAAATTTAAATTTCAATAAAACTAAATTGCACTTCAAATGTTTGTCACAATTTTATTAACAGAGTTACATATTATAATAATTTTAGAAATTTAAGAATTAAACTAAAAAATAATGGAAAATTTTAAAAGTTAATTTAACATGATTGAAAATTATGATCAATTTCTTATGTGATTGGGTTGATCTTGGCAATTCAATTTAAGAAAATATTCGAAATAAAAAATTATTTTTTAAGACTTTATTTGAAATATATATTACTTAATTAAAAGGATGAAATTAAACTTCAAAACAATTTCAACCGGAAACTTCTAGAGTTGATTTTAATTCTTTAATTTTGATGACTACATGTAGCGGCCCGTGAACTAAAAAAGAAGTAAATTATAAATTAAGTGCGAAAGTGAAATAATAGCATTAAGATTTATATTCATTACACAATAATTCAGGATACCCAATAAAGTTACGAGA